AAAAGTTACATGTGTAGCCAATTGTACACTCTCCTGTAGTAGTTCATTGAACCACAATACCGACAAGTGATTAATAAAAGTCAAAAGACCAAAGAGGTCATCTTAATACCAAAAAAAAAAAAAAAAAGATACACAAACATATATTAAAACCAAGCAGAACATATGTTCAATAGCAAATTTTATTGTAACTAAATATTACTAATACTAACCTAGATCATACAACATTAATGTCTGTAGATAAACAATACACTATATGACTTAATAAATTTATACAATTTAACTAATTATTTCCTTTCATCAAACCCATAGACTAGAGATCTCTTAACCATTCTAGCTAAGAATAGGTTAAAAAATAAATTTGCTATAATCTCTATTCCTTTAGTTTAATGTATCAATTTATACTAGTTGTACTTAATTATATATTACTGAAATAAAAGACTAGAGAAAAGACCTTTCTTAAAAAAAAAAAAAAAATATTATATAAAACTATATAAAAATAATCTATATACCCTTTACCCTTAAAATATTTGTTTTTATTCACCACAATTTGAGTTTTCTTTGGATTTTATGTTTATTTTTCTCATTTTCTAGTTGTATCAATATTTAAAAATTCTTTTAAATAAAGTTCTAAAGATTTTTTATTAAAAAAAAACTTAAACAATAATAACTTTATAGAAAAAAGTAATAATGAGGTTAATGCCTGGCAGAGCATATAATTCTTATAAGATATCTGCATGATGCAATCATACTAGAAACTAAGAATAAAAACAAGTATAGTAATTAACAAATAATCCAAGTAACATACAAATGAGAACTGATCTAGCATTTTATTAATATTTTATAAAACATTAATATACATTATCTGGCAATTAACTTACATTAGACAATTAAATAGAAGTTTACAAGCCATTATATAATAAATTATCAGGTTATCTGAAAAATTAGTTTGCTATTGTCTTTGATAATCAATTATCATTTAATAAACCCAATAAAAAATCTTATGAAAAAAATTAAAAAATGTTAAATATCAGGTAAATAAACAAATTAATCTGTATAGGTTACTAATTTTTGAGTCTAAAATTCTTGCCTTTTTATTGTTAATTATCATGACTACAACATTGTTTGCATTTGCATTTTTTCATATTCAAATTATACTCAGTAATTACATATCGGAATGCATGTTGTAAACATAAAATGGTAAGTTAATCACTCTATACTGAAATTATATGTGTAACTACTTGGAAAGGTTAATTCAGATCAAAAGAGGTGTGTTAGATTTGACAAATAGTTCACTTAGTAATGGTTGGATTCTACTGGTAAAAGAGGTTTCAGGTTCAGTGTCAGTCAAATACACTAGCATGCTTTATATAATTACTAGATAGGGACAGATTATGTAGTAATAAGTATGTACCAGGAATGGAGTTTGTACAATGTACAACATAGTGTATGATTTACAGACAAGTTTAATGTGTTTGTGTGATTTTCAGCACATGATTGGGTAATCTGTCATAGTGACTTTGTGTAGCACCCCAAACAATATTTTAAAAGGTAGATACCAGGAACAAATGCCTCTGTATACAAAATCTTGGAATTGATTTGACACACGTGTCTTATTCATTATTAAATATTTTTTTAAAAAAATATAAATGAGCACATACATCTGTATAACAAACAATAGTAAAATAAGTTTTTTAAGCACAAAAATTAGTGTCCAAATATAAATGTAAAGGCTCAATGCTAAATATTTGGTAATTTTCATTTTTTTTCATCAAATTTTTTATCAGGCAGATAAAATGATAATCACTGATCTTCGAAAGAATTTATCGATCATTTCTAAATACAGATATGTTTCATAGAATTTTAATGTTTTTTGCAGGGCTCAGAATTTTGGATCAAACTGAGTGATGCTAGCTAACCAACTATATAGCAGTCAGACATTGACTTCATTAATAGGTTTTTAGGCTCAGTCACTGAAATTCAAACCAATATTCAGATTGCAAGTACTATCAACTTCTTTTATAAAGAGTCATTTTCTTATACCAGGGATGGATTGCAATGAAGAATATAGTTTTCCGTGACTGAAATGATGTCTGTGTAGATTTCTCCCATTCTTGGTTTCGCACGACAACGTTGCGCAGCTACTTATGTAATAAAATATCAGTTTATTATTATCAATAAGCAATTTTATTACGGGTGATTTATGAATTATATGTATTAGTTATGAGTGGCAAAGGGAAAGTTGTCTTTTCCCGAAGGCTATATTTATAATTGTAGACTTCTATTTACATTATGCAAGAGATACGACTGATATTTCTGATGCAACCAATTTGTCTTATCCTACTGATATACCCATCTGTCGATCGCTAATATCCATCACATTCTTTACATGCATCACATGCGGCTGATTGGCCACATGTGACGAATGCAACGGATGCGATTGGCCCCCTTTTCTGAATTAAGTGATGGACCCAAAATGGCCAGGTCCATTCGGGTCTCATTTCTACCCAACTAGAGTCCGAGTTCTATGAGATGATGTAGATCGTTAATCAACTGGCTCCCTTCCTCAGTCATGAGCCGTCGAAGGTCACAGAACTTCAGCATAGTGGTTCGATAGATCTGTGCTGGGCCGCCCACACGAAAATATGTCGTATGCCTTCATGGAGGTAAGGTAGTAGTGCTTGGTAAGCAGGTTCTGCAGGGCCCTTCGTTGTACAGAGGTCTGCGTGCGAAGATCATACTGATATAATAGGCGTAGACCAGGGTCTCGACTTGCTGTCGGTACCGTATGGCCCTAAATAGGAGCGGGTAGGTCAGGGTCACACATGTTACGGGGTCTTGTAACTAAGTAAAGGGCGGCAGAGTTGCTACCACATCGGCTGGTGATGTCGATTACGATTTCTGATAAATTGGCCATTTCGATGTTGATTGATTTTCTTTCTTTCTCGATTTTCATGCGATTGTATAATCTTGCCGTTTCTCAGATTTTTTCACTTAATCTCACAACGTGTATATCCGTTGATCTATATGCATGATGAATTCATGTGTAAAAAATAACCAAAATTTAATGAATAAATCACGCGGACCAATCAAACTTAAGATTTCACGGACAAATCCCATTTCAAACATCATATAACCTATACATTCACTAATTACATTCGTTCCTGGTATAAATAGATCCACAGTATGCAATATTTAGATAGGATAGTTCTGCCTTATTTCAGTAACAATCATTTCACTAGCTGGCATTATGTCAAGTGGCAATTTACTAAAAAACGTAAGCTAAATAAACTTTCGGTATAATGACTGTCAGAGAAGTAAACAGCACTATTATTGATTCGCGATGCTTTCGCTCCCTGGCCATCTACGGTGCCATCTTCTTCTACATCAAAACTCGATTCCATTTCCTGTGCACTATCTTCATCCTAACATTTTCATTACATAAGTGTTGAAGATTTTTAAAACCAAATTTCAGACCATACTACATAATTTCGAATAGTTTATGTTTTTCAACATACCATATTTAATTTTTTGTAAATCTTGTGTTTCTGTTAATTCAGGAGGCGAAATAATTAAATGTATAAGTTCTAAAAGGTTTTTGAAATAACTTCCTATTGACTTTGATGGCAATAGTATATCACGATCGTGGAAAGTAAGGCCATCTATCTTATCATCATTATCTGGTATTTCTACTTTCCTAAGTTTTAGCTTATCTGCATCAATACCAGAAAAATTACTGCCTTTATAACACCTTTAAGATGTCCAACAGATTTTTTGTTATCAATTTCTATTGGAAAGTCATTTGCGAGTGGATGGCCTTTTAACAAGGCAGATTAACGTAATCATTAATTTGGTTTGTTTTGATGATGGTTGCCTTTATCGTTATCCTTATTTATACTTTGTTTACATTCCTTCTACAATAAATAGTTGAATTTAGTATAACCATGCAATGTTAGTTGGAAATAGTTATGCCTCATTTTACAAAAACTATTCCATAACATGGGGTAACAATTTTTAGCTATTACTAATAAAACGTCAAATTGTCACTCATTGTGATGACGAGTAAATGAAATGTCGAAAAAATAGTTTTTGAGAAAATGATCGTATACTTTAAAACATCTAATAAAAATTTCAGATCATGATTACCTGGCATATTTTTGTACACCTGCTTCAGACATATATTAAGAAACCCACAAATTTTAACGGTAAAAGCAATCAATATGTATTATATAATGCCACATAAATTAATTCGAAATCACTGTAGTTTTCGTAATATTCTGTGTTTGAAACGACTTTTCAGAAAAAGAAAATATCCGAACTGGTTTCGTGCATAAAAAAAAGTAGCACGTATATAATTAATGAATGTATCTTGCTAATAAATCATATTACACCTTTCTTACATTTCAATTAGATCGATTACCAAAAGTAGTAAGGTATAACAGGTACATACGTATATTTTGAAAATCAGAAGCTGTGCACAATCACGAGATTAATTATTGAAAATAGCTCATATAAGGATTTGAAATAGAACTTGAAAAATCTTGCAATGTCCATAGCATAAGCGTAAAATATATTATTACCGTTAACTATACTGCTCATATTATTATTACTATTATTTTTAAGTTGATAATTTTACACACCTTATAGTTTTGAGAAACCAGCCTTTTAGACCTTATTTCAATTCTTTATACGCTAAGTGATAGCTTAAAAAAGATTAAGATTTTAGTTTTAAACAAAAAAAAACAAAAAATATTATTGTGGTATATTGCATTTCTAAAAAGTCAACTCACATTCCTCCTATTTAGAATAGCTATTGCATTTCTAAAAAGTCAATTCACATTCCTCCTATTTAGAATAGCTGAAAAAGAAGATTAAGATTACAGAGTTATCCTTCCTTTATAAATAATAAAATTTATCATTGTTTATTGACAACAAAGTTAGGATGCTTGAGTTCAGAATGCTTGGAATGGCTACCAATATCTACAAACAGAATTCTCCTATTAAATTTTCAGTAATTCTCTGAACAGTCTCTTAGTAATTTTCTTGAAGAGTCGGCTAGAAGTTATTCTTCATTTGTAAAATAAAAAAAAACCACGCTTTTCTTCAAATCACAGAAGTTTCCACATTCAAAAAGTTACTGACCAAGAATCATCAGCTATATCAGCAGTTTGATAGTCCACAAACAAGAGATATGTCATACGTTGTACCCAAAAAGAGTGCCAACCTTTCAAAATTTTATTATTAGAATAAATTAAATGAAATGTTTAACATTGCATTTATTATAAACGCACCTAAAATGGTTTGCACCTATTATATATTTTCATACGAATTTTTCATGTTAGGATAGTATTTAAGCATCACATACTAATTTACTAGCCAGATTTTTTAAGATGATGAACATAAGTAACATAGAATACCTAGCTATTAAAAAATCACGTAAACATAAACATGATCACGCAAAAAGAAAAGAGTAATGTGTAGTCTTAAATATATAAAAGCAATTGTTTTTGTCAGTAATACAATTACATATTGATCTGCATATTGCATAAATATCAAAAACACGACACCTGTATGCATCAAAAAAGTAACTTGGACGCGACTTTAGCAATCCCCTATTAGGAAATTGTGCCGCTCTTATCTGGATCAGCACTTTGATTTTTTTATCACGACTTTGGGAGAGTTACTACGATGGTCTAGTCGTGTACATTAATTAGAGACAGAGATTGTTGGATATTACAATTTACTATAGAAATTTTCAAAATTACAAGTAGAGAACATTAAAGGTCGAAAAGGTCGATTATATAGTAATGATTAAGAGCCAAAAAGGATCTGGTTTTATTAACCGTTTATATAGATTTTCTATTAGACAAAATATGTAGTAATGTGCGAAAATTAAATAAAATAACTATGAAAATCACTACTTATTACGAAAAAAAGGTGTATTTTGATTAATTACGACATTTTTTCGTAACAACATGAGTACAAGCATTTATAATAGAACACATTATCGATAACTCATCAATATTAAAGAGCAAAAGAATATCCATCACTAAAATTAAATAAAATGATACCAACTATGATAAATCATAAATATACATATTTGCGGTGTGATATCAATATTAGTTATCATCATAAAAATTAAGGTTAGCTTAGCTCCATTTGAGTCTCTGTGTAAAGATGATAAAGGTAAGCTGATATTATTTCAAATGCCATAGAATAAGACGAAATAGAAGAATGAAATTTTGTAATACAATAAAAGCTTTCTATTTCATAAACATTTCCAGTACAATTAAATGCTAGAAAAATATTGAAAAAAATAATTTCAATTGCATAAACAAATTGGATTTCAACATTAAAAACTAATAATTTCGCCAAAAATGAAATAATTATCATAAAAATATAACATCATATATTAGTTTAAAAACTTTCTATATTCGTCCTTTACAACAATAATTGAATGTGATATATTACAGAAATACCTTCTACTTAAAATTTGGTGACAAAGCCACAAACGCAATTCTAATTGTGCAGTAACAAAACAATCAAGATGTACATATATTAGAATCAAATGTATCAAATTTTTGAACATAAAAACTTTGGATAATCAAAATTCGGTCATAAATTCTATAGTTACTTGAAGTTTACTACTGTTATCCGGGGAAGTCACGTGGCACGTGACTACGGCTACTCCAAATTAGGGTAACCCGGCCCACTTAGGCTATTTCGGCTACGTAGGCTACTACGGCTACGTAGGGCACGAAGGCCATGTCGGATAAGTATAAGTTGGGAACGAAGTAGTAGAAGTAGTAGACGTAGTAGTTGTAGCAGACGTAGAATGACAAATGTAAATAAAGAATTTTAAGATAAATAAAGGCCGTAAAGGCCCTAGAGAAAGGGAGAGAACCCGTCCTTTGCTTTATTAAAATAATAACTGGCCCTTACATAATAAATACATAAACGCCTCCCTTGCTACATTAACTAATCACTGAATCCCCAGACCATAAAAACCCGATTCTTGCAATTATCTGTTCTAACCCGTAATATTGTAAAACCCCATCTGGCTGTTGTATCCTAAAGTACCAGGATCAGTCGTGGTCACTCGAGTCCAACTATCCGAAGAAGTGTGATAGTTGAGGTTATACGTGTAGTCCCATTACCCGAAGTAGTGAGGTAATTGAGGATTAAAGTTAGTAGAAGCTTAGAGAAGGAAAATCAGATACATAGCAGAAGAAATACTTACCTACGGACCCAAACCACCGACCAAATCTAAACGCCTCTTTTCGACTAAGCCAACCGTAGGTTACACGAAGTTTTGGATTGTGGAGCGACTGACTCGCCGTATCGCCCGATTTCACTACAAAAATTCGAACTATTGTGAGTCAATCAGTATATATATATAGATGAATGGGCTATGATTCGTTAGTAAACTTTTTAGTGATCTTGGGCAAAATTAATCAATTCCAACCCAGCCAATAATTCTTATAATTCGTTATGTCGGTCTACTAATCAATAAAATAATACTATTGATTGATTGTATGATCATAGCGTGCTAAAACCCATAGCCCATAGGAAGACAATCGTATAATTGGCATTTATATAGTTTAAAAAATAATAATAAACTAAAAAAAATATATAGAAAGTTTTATTGGAGTTGTAGGACTCCACTATTAAAAATAATAAAAATCTTTTCTGGTTTTAGAGAAGTTAACATGCTAGCGACTTCTTAAAGATAAATAGAATTAAGTTATTACCATGCTAACTTCTCTAAAACAAAAAGGGATTTTGATTATTTTTCTATATACTTCTTTTTTGTTTATTCTTATTTTTTTTAAAAAAAGTACTTTAAACTATATAAATAATGTAAATTTAAATTGATTTAAACAGCCAATTATACGAAAGCCTTCATATATGCTAAAACTAATATAACCATTATCGCTTTCAAAAAAGCACGGACACATGATATTTTTTGGTATCCTACATCAATCAGGAAAGTTCAAAAAAAACGTTCGTTTACTAAAGATCGTTTGTAACTCGAAAATAAGCATAGGCAACCACCTTTGGTGCCTTAACAAAAAGTTTTTCTTGTCGATTTTACTATTAATCTTGCTAACATTTAACCTCAATACGAACGCTAACCCTAACTTAAACGAGCTTGAAGATTTTTTAGAACATCACAAATACGGTCAAGTGCCCATATTTTTGAAGGCGATCAGTTTATGACGTTATCAAGTCGCAACCTCGATGTGATTAGCTCATGATCATAATCAAGCGCAACTATAATTATAAGCAAATTAAGAAGAAATCGAAGGTTGCTTAAACGTTATTCTCTGTGATATGTGACAATCCACATTCACAATGATAAGAATTGCAATTAGTACTTAATTGATACTCGTTATCATTACGTTTGGTTCGTTATAAGGATACTTGTACAATCTTTTTGAATACTCAATTAATTATAAATCTTGCAAAGTCATGGATAAAAAAAAATGATCTGCCGTAAAATATTTATAAATTGAACTCATTTATTATTATTTTTTTACTAATAAAACTATTAGCTGCTTGATACAAGAGTATCGGAGCAGCATTTTGTCTCGAATCGATCACGGAGTATGAATCCATAATCGAACGATTTTTAGTAAGGTCATATGATGTAGTGGTTACGTAATTGCGTAGTAATTTCGATCTGTAGTTTCTAGAGCTTATCGATGGGGTTACGTAACCACGTGGTAATTTCGATTTGTAATTGATGAGAGTCTATTATAGTATTGTCGTAATTACGTCGTTAGAGCTTAGGATAGTAACGACGTAATTACGTAATGACGCTGATTTGTGGTCGATGGGTTATATTTAAGGGACGGGTTTTCTGCTAATCCGACTTTGTCTGGTTTTTTCGTCCCGCCCTTTACCCACCCTCATATACGTTAAACGACAGTCATAGTTCTAATGTTAGTAGGTGGCCTGTCAGGACGACAGTCACAAAGGGTACCATTCCAGAGATATGTGTATCGATCAGTGGATTTGGCCTGTCGGGACGACAGTCAAATCTAAAAAATTTTTTTGTAGGTGGCCTGTCGGGACGACAGTCACAAAGAGATGTTTTACAAATGAACAGGTATTACGCTCGGGTAGGTATTATTTGATGGATAGGGCGTAATGATTCATCTGCAAATTTTAAATTTTATTTTTTTGTACTGATGCTTTTAAATTCTGCGTTGTATTTGGATGTTTGCACAAAACAGGACAGACAGAATACCCATATTTCATAGTGTTAGAACACCTCTTCGACGAGAGACAAAATATTAATTATGAAATAAACTTTATTAAACTACGATGTTTATTTAAATATTCATTACGAAAATAAACACATTTGACCCTTTAGAATAGTTTCCGCTGAGTAAAGTTTATTGTACGGGTCTTATTTAACAGCCTGTGCTTTTTTCACTCATTTACAGCAAGTGTTTAATAAAAAATACCTAAATCGGAACCCGCCCATCTTTGATCAAATATGAACGTGTTGCAATTTAGTTATTTTATTTGGATTTGTCATTATTTTTTTAAATTGCCATTGAACGGTGTCAACATTATTTGTTTTCGCTTTTTTAGAATTGTCTTGGATTGATAATATAATATAATTAGTCCTTTAAAATCTTATCGAATAAAGTAAATGTATTATTAGGTCTTCATTTCTTTAAATTCTTATTAAATAGAATTGCTTGTTTTTGGATTTTCTTGTTGAAGTTGCATTTTATTATCACTTTCTCTATATTTCTTTAAATCCTTGTTAGATTGAATTATATATTATTAAATCTTTTTTTTTATAAATAATTCTTAGTATAAAGAATCTTTGTTATTTTTTTAATTATGCAGGTTGTATATTATTAAGTCTTCATTTCTATATATTCCTATTAGACGGAATCATATGATATTTTGTTTTCACTCTCAATCGAACAGGTCTTTTTTTAAAAACTGTGGATACGGTTATATGTAATTGACTTTTCTTTGGTTAAAAATTCATTTTGAACAAAGTCTTCATAATAGCAATGTTAAAAATTGTCCTTTTATTGATGTGAAAGGTGTCTCACGGGTTGTTACGTCAGACCGTAAAATAATCCATTTTATTGTTGATCTGTGATATATGATCGTTAGTAGAGCTTAGGTCCAGATAAGCCTTTTTAAATTAGCATTATTATCGACGCAGCATATCAGTCTAAAAAATTCGCACATTATTAGATTTGGGTTAGGGTCTCGCTAGTAACTTAAGGTGGGCTTAGAAAGTTATGGTTTTAATGAAATTTCATCGGGAAACTTTTTGTTAGTGCGCAGAAAGCAGTTTAATAGGTAAAATTTCAAGCTACGAATGATTTTTGAATTGTTTTCGTTTTTTACAATTTTTTATGTTACACCTGATCTCGAATTTAAATTGACTACGTAGCAAAATTTTTTAGACTGATATTTTAAATATAGTTAACACAGCACAGCATTATGTATGAAAAAGACTATATACGCAAACATATAAAATGCGCACACGGTTTTATTACTCAATCAAATAGAAATATGTGCTTTGCGCACTAAATTTCAAACCCAGATTTTTTGCATTGAAACTATACTTAAAAAATTATTTCTCCGGGAGCTTACATTCAAATCAAGGTTTAACCCGAAATTAAGATTGAAGTCTAAACCGATAAACCTAAATTATAACCCTGAAACATAAGATCGGTGATTACATATTTTATGCATGGTTATCGGGATTCTCGGGATAACGATTAGCCGTTAAATTTTGGCTTAATTATATCGGGATAGTTAAACTTTTAACGTTAAAGCAAATCGGATTCATATAATTATTAGGCAATCAAAATGTGAAGTAAAACTTAACTCTGATCGCGTTAGCCGGTTTGTCCTACAATATAAATGGCCAAAATACGCCATTTTTACCAATTTTTATATAATTAACTTCCAAGTTAATCTTAAATTATAAATATTTATCGTTCAAGCAGGAAAAGTAAATTATTATGGTCTTATCAACATCAAAAAAAAAGATAATTTTGTTTGCCGCTGTTGTAATTGCATCATTCGCAACATGCTATTACATGCGAAAGGACTTCCTTATCATGGACCTTTTTCCAATAGATAAGGAAAAGTCGTCAGAAGAAGGTATTGGAATTTTCAATTTAAATTTTTTATTCAGCGTTTGATTCAAGATAGGTGACTAACAAGTATTATTATCACCAAAAAACAGCCACAGTAAGTTTTCTTAGTACTGTGATCCTAACGCTATAATCACATTCAAAATCCTTATAGTTTGAACCGGTTTCAGATTGACTTACTGAAGTCCATTTTTCTGAAATACCATTTCACCGAAGTCGTAATACCGACAGCTTATTTGATCAAGATTCTTAAAAATTGCACTAACCTTAACTCTAATTTTAACCTGATCCTAATGAATTGGTCTGTCGGTGAAATAAACTATCAGTGAAACAAACTAAGTTGTCGGAAATGGGCCTTGTCGTGAAAAAGGGATATTGGAATTATGAAGTTGGAGAAATAGTATTTCGGGAAGGTGGGCTTCAGAAAGTGAGCAACAAAGGTTTGAACCTCTATACCAAACCACGAAAGTTCAACATTTCAATTAGAGCTTAGATCCGGTTATCCGTTGGATACAAATTTAATAGTAAAATCCGCCGGATAACCGTTAAATTTAATATGAAAACGGATGACCGGATCCAAAATCCCAACATTATAACCTGCATTTTGAACCATTTGATTTTTTTGCATTTTGATATCTTAGATTATGGTGTCTAGGATATGAATCTACTGCATTGCTGCAAAAACACATTTCGCGAATGTTACTAAATTTATACTATGTTTTTACGAAATTCAAAGGCTATGAGAATTCTTGTCTGCGGTGGTGCTGGTTATATCGGCTCTCATCTTGTTCGAGAACTTTCGACTCAGCAGGGTTACGAAATTATTGTCCTAGATAATCTTTCTAAAGGTCATATAAAATCAATTCCTAATGGAATCAAATTCGAAAAAGCTGATATTCGTGATAAGAAAGCTCTTGAACGAATATTTTCTGAATATAAACCAGATGCTGTAATGCACTTTTGTGCTTCAATTTCTATCGAAGAAAGTGTAGCTGATCCTTTAGGATATTATGAAAATAATGTTGTGGGAACAATTTATCTTCTTCAAACTATGAAAAAACATAATGTCAAATATTTCATCTTTTCATCTAGTTCTGCAATCTTTGGTAATCCAAAAGAAGTTCCCATTGCAGATAATATTCAGCCAGATCCAATCAATCCTTACGGTGACACTAAATATATCGTCGAAAAAATACTTGCTTGGTCTGAAAATGCTTATGGATTAAAATATATTTGTCTTAGATACTTTAACGCTTGTGGTGCTCATGAGAGTGGTGATATTGGCGAAGATCATGATCCAGAAACACATTTAATACCACTTATTTTTCAAGCGGCTCTTGGACAAAGAAGTAGTATTAGTATTTTTGGTAATGATTATGATACTAAAGATGGAACTTGTGTACGAGATTACATACATGTTACCGATCTTGCTACTGCACATATTAAGGCTCTCGAATATCTTATAAGAGAAAATAAATCACAATCATTTAATTTGGGATCTGGAGGAGGATATACAGTAAATGAAGTAATCAATGCTGTCGTAGATGTTACCGGTATTCAATTTTCAACTATAATGGAGTCCCGCAGACCTGGTGATTCTGCAGTACTGATCGCTAATTCTACGCGTGCTGAACAAATCCTTGGCTGGAAAAGAAAATATGATACAATTGAAGATATTGTTGCTAGCGCATGGAAATATCATAAATCTCATATAAATGGATATAATGACCGTTAAACTATTTTTACTACAAATATCAAAATTTTTTAGACCATTTGGATTTAAATAGATAACAAGGCTTTCAATTTACAAACAATTTTTTGCTGATATTGTAGTCAATTCTTTCTAAAGAGAGCCATAATACATATTTTAAACTTTTGAATGTCATTATAATGTTCGGATTAGGCATTATTTTTTAAACCTAACCTCTTTTTTTCATTTTCTTATTAAGCTCCAGGGTTTGGTATAAAGTGAATTGACCGTATTTCATAAAAGAAAATTGTAATACACTAGGAGTTTGAAATACTGAAATTTGCGTGTTACATATAATTTCTATTAACAATGCAAATAATTATCCAGATACGATACATTTCACGGGGAAAATCCAAATTAGCACCCGGGTAGTATACTAAACGAATTTTCATATGAAAAAATCTTTCACATAAGATATACCGCCAGGTACTTTACATTCAACCACATAATTGTTTTGAGAGGGTTACTTTGATGTGGAGGTATTGTGGTCTGTGCTAGTTAAAAACAATTTTAATTAATATTAGAGTTAGGATTAAAAGCTAAAACTAAAATAAAAACATAGATACAATAAAAGATGGTTTATAATAAAATTTTTAAAATTATTAATTTATATGAGTGTATTTGCAGAATTAAACTTTTCTAGATACTTAATTTATTGCATTGTACCCTAAATTAGTAATATGATTATTATTTTTAATGATGTAAATTTTTTTGCTCTATTGATAAAATTATATTTTATTCTAGTTCTCGTATTTTATTCTATTATTCTATTCATCTATTACTAATAATAACTAATTATATTTTATATTTCAGTAACTGACAATTTTTTATTCTATTGATAAATATTATATTATATTCTAATTTCCATTGCTCTCGTTGTCCAATCTAATGTTTTTATCCGAAATGGAGGCTACTCGAGACAAAGTCACGAGTAGCCCTTTTGTCACGAACCAATTAATTACCACAATCAGTGGCATACAAAATACATCATATAGTTTGATTAGTTGTGATGCATATGTGGTAACACACTGATAGGTTAAGGTTACACATTACGTATTTTATGTATTAGTATTTATAGCAGTCGCGTTTAATCAGTTTGTTGTCTTTTTTGCTTCGCTGCGCTCGACAAATAAGTCTAGCTTGGTCGGCTCAAAATAAACCTGTATTAACTAAAGCTTGTGTACTTGGAAATAAAGTTTAAATAAGTTTAAATAAGTGAAGAAGTCTAAATAAACTGTTACATACGAATTTTAAATGGAACGATCTATGAGTTTGTACGAAGAACCCTTGCTAGATAGGGATTTTAACACGTCCCCTTGTGAACTGGCAGATGAGAATGTCGTAGCAGAAACAAGTTTCTTGAATAGTCTCGATAGACTAATGGTGGATACATTACGGATGCTTTGTGAGGCGGAGGGGTTGCCTAGTGTGGGAAATAAAAAAGAGATGGCAGAAAGGTTAGCGGTGAAGACAGTAAGCAAGTTGAAAGGAAAGGACTTAGCCATCAGGAATCAGTTAGGTCAAGCTAGCGAACGTGCTAATTATGTTGATGATAGGTCAGGAGCAGAGGTTCGTAGAAAGGAAGCAAGTAGTAACATGGAGCAAGTAGAGTCTATTTATGATGAAGGAAGTGATAAACGATTCCATGAACCATCTAGAAATGGGTTTATGAACCAAGGGAAGGATGATAGGTTGGGTGAAGAAAGAAGGTATTTGATGTTGGAGAGGTCCTCAGAGAAGTCTTTGCAAGCGACGTTGGCTAAGGCTTTAGGTGAAATGAAACAAAGTCTGTATGTTATTGGTAATAAAGTGGAAGAGGATAAGTTTTGGCCTGAGATTAAGATGAATAGACCTAGAGATCAGTATGAATACGATGAGTGGCGCAGAATTGGAAAAGAGCTAGATGAAGCCCTACTAACAAAGTCATTAGAACCTGTAGTAAGGGCTCGTGAGCTAGCTTATACATGGGTCTATACTCTTCGTGTTGCTAATAAGGAGGGTTGGGACATTGCGGCAGCTCTAAGAGATTCAGTCAATGAAGACCCTATGGAAGCAGCCCTTAGAGAAAAACTAATTGTAGCAAGGCAGTCAGCTAAGAGTAAGAAGAGAAAAACAGACTATGTTGCGGCAGTATCAAGTTTAGGATCTCAATTGTCCTTTTCATAACCACATCTGGGTCCTTGTACTCAGAATATACAGCCATTTCATAAGTTTCCTGGAGAGGCAAGTAGTGTATCCTTGTATCAGTCCTTAATGCTGCAACAACAGCAGTTGTTTAGTCAGTGGCCTCAACAGGTTCCTAGTAATCAAGTACCCTATCAAGAAAGTCAGTTTCCCTTTTAGTATAGCAATTTACTAGTATAAGGTTGGCCAAACATGCAGCTCTAGTCAAATGATCATAGAGAGGTTAGGCAGATTGAGTAATAATATATGTTATGTTTGTGAAGAGAAAGGGCATATTGCTATGAATTGTCCACATAAGAAGACAGGTTTGCCCTTTCATAAGTCAGACTCTAAAGAGAGTTAACTACACTCGGGATGAAATGAATGGATTGGAGTTAAGAGGAATAAGTATGAAGTAGAGTGTGACTGGAAGGGTTCATTCGAAAGAAGCAGTAATTTATTGAAGAAAAGTGGTGAAACCACCGCATTAGTGATAAATTGGTTAGAGAAGGGTATACCACTGTTTCTAAGGAGAGTAAAATCACTATTTTACAAAAAGGTTCTATAGCAGATCAATTTTACGGGTGAGGAAAAAGCTTGGTTGGCATAGAAATTAGATTGTCTATGCAGAACAGGTGCAGTTCGGCAGGTATCACAGGGAAGGATAAGACCAGAGTTTTTGCTAGAAGTAAGCCCTATATTTCTTATTCCAAAGAAGGGCCCAAAAAAGTACAGGCTGGTAGTAGATTTAAGATGCTTGAACAAGAGATTGCCAAAGAAAACAGTTCAATTCAAGGGATTGGGAGGATTTTTAAGGTTGATCAGTCGAAATTGGTGGATTGTCACATTCGATTTAAGAGATGGCTACCATCATATAAGAATGGATGAGTTTGTCCAACGTTTTCTAGGATTCAAGAACGAAGAAACTTGGTACCATTATATAGTTCTTCCTTTTAGCCTCTCTCAGGCAATTTGGATTTTCTCAAAGATCATGAGATCTCTGATTGGTTTTTGGAGGGCAAGAGGAATATTTTGTGGCAATCATCTAGACGATGTTTAGATAGTCCATCCAAACAAAAAAGTGTTATTAATGATAAGAAATACAGTAGTTTCAGTAGATTTAGAGAGTTGTGGTTGAATAAGAGCTCTAAACAAAGGACAGTGGGAGCCAGCTCAAGTAGTCAAATACTTCGGGTTAGAGATAGATACAAAGTCAGCTCAAGTTTGAATTCCAAAGAAGAAGTTGAAACTGGTAAAGGCCGAGTTAAATTTATTAATAGGAGTAGAAAGACTAAGTGTAAGGAAATTAGCCTCAATAGCTGGAAGGATTCAAAGTTTAGCTTGTGCATTTCTTTCTGCTCAGGTAAAATGTCTAAAGTTCTATGGTCTAATAGATGCTCAAAATCAGGATTTTTGGAATTGTGATGAGGTTATAACATTGACAGTTCAAGCAAAAGAAGATATAAGTTGGCTTTGCAAGAATTTAGAACAATGGAATGGAAAGCCAGCATGAAAACCATTATTAGTAAAGCCAATCTTTGTAGATGCTTCTTTAACAGGATGGTGTGGAACGTATCTGAGTTACAAAGCAGCAAGAAGCTGGTCCTGTTCCTGTGTAGCAGCAGAAATAGCACAACTTGAAAGCTTAGCAGTTCTAAGAGCCCTTCAGTCTTTTGTGAATTTAATAAAGAACTCATAAGTAATGCACTAAAATCAGTAATACAAGGTGAAGCTTATCTCTGGCAAAAGGAAATAGCTCAAAACTTATAGGTGTTTTGTGCAAAAAATGATATATAGATTTACAAAATTTACTGGATTCCAAGTGCAATAAATCCAGCAGATTTTTTAACAATGAATATAGACACAAATGATTAGAAGTTAAGGGATGAGATATTCAGTCATCTAGAGAACTGTTGGGGGAAAATGACAATCAACAGATTTGCAGATCATCAGAACACCAAAATAGACTGTTTTAACAGTCTTTACTTTTGTTTTAGGATGGAGGCTGTAGATGCTTTTACTTAAAACTGAAAAAATGAAATAAACTATGTTTGTGCACCTTTCAGTGTGATTCAACAGGTCTTAGTTCACAGCTTGGAATGCAAAGTGACTATAATTATAATTTTGCCTGTCTGAGAAACAGCTCTGTGGTGGCCTCTGTTCCTTTTAGCTCCCAAAATAGTTTGGAATCTTTCACCAGCATCTGAAATATTCTTACCAGGTCCTACAGGCCAAATAGAACTATACAAAAACCTGAATTGGAGACTGTTAGCAACCAAAATAGTCTGGTAGAAGAGTTAATAGTTCATGCAAGAAGAATCGCAAGCAATGCTATAGGTTCATTACATAAAGCTCATTTGAATAAAGCATATAATCTATATGAAACATTTTGTAGATGGGCAGGAGTAAAAGTTGACCAAGCAAATATTGATATACTGATGGCCTTTATAGAATGGTTAGATATGACAGGACAGGTTACACAAGTACAATTATGCTTAAATGTATTATCAAAAGAATTTAAAAGAAGAGGAGAAATAGATTTAACAGAAAATTTTAGAATTAAGGAGGTAGTTCGTGGTCTCAAACTATTAAGAGCACAGGATCATGAGGCTCCATGGCCACGTGACCCTTTTTCTCTTGTTGTATTAAAGAAATACTATATTGAGCCTCCTAATAATGTAGATCCAATTTTTTGGCAATGGGATCTTGCATTAGTAGCACTAGGATTTCGTACTATAAAAAGACCTGAGAAGCTTTGTTTATTAAGATTGCATAATATAGAATATAAAGGAGGCCTTTTATGGATAAAAATTTGGAAATCAAAAAATGATCCCTTTGCAAATGGAAAATTTGTTCTAATTGATAGAATGAACAGTAGATTCTGTCCAATATAGTTGTTAGAGAAGTATCTTGATATAAGACCTAATACAAGTGGAGATGAACCCTTATTTTTGTTAAAAGCTAAGGGACACATGTCAGTTGCAGCTGTGTCTTCAGTAATAAAATGAATGACAATGTATGCAAGTTGCCAGAATTGGTTTACAGCCCATAGCTTAAAGATCAGTGGGGCAATAGCAGCAATGAAGAGTGGTATGAGTCTAACACAGATTAAATCTATAGGTGGTTGAAACTCAAAAGCAGTGTTATTATATTTGAGATCAGTAGTCACAACACAGATTTGGGCTTCAGAATTGATAGGTTTTTAAACAGTTTGTGTTGTAGAGCAATATGCTAACTTAGTTTTAATTAAGTCAAGTATGTCAAACAGTAATTACACAAACCAGCTCAATACAATATATTTCAAGTGATTTACGATGCTCATTAATTCCCATATTTGTACAGTCATAAATAGTAATATGTAACCTTCATCTTATTCAAGTGAGTGACAAATGGAGGCTACTTGAGACAAAGTTATGAGTAGCCCTTTTGTCATGAACCAATTAATTACCACAATCAGTGGCATACAAAATATATCATATAGTTTGATTAGTTGTGATGCATATGTGGTAACACACTGATAGGTTAAGGTTACACATTACATATTTTATGTATTAGTATTTATAGCAGTCATGTTTAATCAGTTTGTTGTCTTTTTTGCTTCACTGTGCTCAACAAATAAATCTAGCTTGGTTGGCCTTTTATTCCTCCTTACCCCTAACCACTATAACCCTGGATCAAATGTTTAGTAGTCTAATAGTTTAAGTAAGAGTTAATAGCAAGTTGTTCACCAGTTGAATGGTAAGATTTAGTGGCAGCCTGACTGTACAAGTCAGATGCAAAATCAAAATAGCAGTATTTGTCTGACTATTTTTCAGGTTTAGTAGCTTGACTGCACAAGTCAGATGCAATTGAAGGTCAAATCATTAGAATTGAGTTACCAATATTTTGGAGTTTAGCAGCTCGACTGCACAAGTTGAATGTAAATTAAGGATCAAGTCATTAGATGTAAATTACTGTTATTTACAGTATTCGCATTAGAAGTCTATTTTCTCTACTAATCTTTAGTCTAAGACTTCATTAAGCATTTAACAGGTAGTTGATTCTAGCGAAAAGCTGGAAATCACGTGTTAGCGAGGCACCTCCCATATTTGTACAGTCGTAAATAGTAGTATGTAACCTTCATCCTATTCAAGTGAGTGACAAATTGTTTAATTAGTCTGCTGTAATTCTAAAATAATGCAGAAATTCTAAATTATGCCATTTCTTTGAAAATTTAAATTTTTGATATTTTGAAATTTGAAAATTTAAAAGTTTAAAAATTTAAAAATTCAAAAATTTTAAATTTTAAAATTAAAAAAAAAAAATTTGAAAAAAATTAAAAAATTAAAAAATTGGAAAATTTTAATCATCTGATTGACCAATCAGGATGCAATAAACCTAACAGATTTTCAATTTTCACTGATTGACAGTGATTGACCAATTAGATAACAAGATCAGGTGTAATATGAAATTAAAACAAAAACTACCATTTTCTAAAAAAAAATTCCTTGCAAAATTTTAGTCAAGACAAGTATCTTTATAATTATAAACATAACCCTAATGTGCTGTTTTATGACTTTAAAAAAAATCTCGATTAGTGAAGGTCTGTTGGTGCCACTAGGGTAGTTCCAAAACTCCTCATGTCTCCTGTTCTTGGTTTCGCATAACAATGTTATGCAACTATCTTATGAAAAATAAGATAACATGATCGTTATAGTTGTGCAATGCAGGTTCTAAACTGGAATTATGAATGAATTCTAAACATTAAACAAATTCGGTAAATTACTTCATGGTTTGCTCGCATAAAAAATTTTTCATACATATTTTCAAATCTATTTCTCAACACTTTATGCCCTTATACTAGGGTAGGAGGCACGGGGTCCCTGAACATGCCTTTGGGTCAAAAGGCATGCCCATATCATGTGATCACAAAGAAATAACAGTGCATATGATTGGCTAATGTAAATCTAATGTAATTTATTATAAATACTGTATTTTACAAATGCAACTACTTATAAATGCAAGTCTTATACCAACTTCTAATAATTTCCAATATAATTTATCTCGACCTCTTTGCACCTTCTACATAATATTAATGGATAATAATTATCTCATGATCTTATAATCAGCATTACAATCACTGTTCTGTCTGCACAATACTAACGTAATAACTATCTCGTGACCTCAATAATTAATGTATAACAATTACCTTGCAATCTACAATAATCAACCCAATTATGGAATTCTCTAATTTGTATACATAACCTAATTAGAATTAAATAATTTTCTATCTTTGTTTTTATGACTTCAGTTTAGACCATTTATCATCTACTAAATAAAAAAATAATTAATATAAGACTAATAACTAAATACATAGTAATGAAAAAATTATGGTTTATGCAAAAAGAAAAAATTTGTTTGAAACTTTAACAATGCAATTACTTAAGTCTTTGATAATAGATCATGCATCAATAATAAAAAACTGATTAATAAAAATAAGAATGTCAAAGTAAAAATAAAAAATTTTATTTTATATAATTAAAAGTAAAATTATCTGTTTAAAAAAAAAAACATATTAATAAATATCACCAATATATTCATTGATACAAATAAAATTATATAAAGTCAACTTATCTGAAAACTAGATCATATTATCTACAAAACAAAAAAAAATCAATAATATCACTATGCAAGTCTCTTCCAGTTTTACTCTTCCACTTTCAACATAAGGTTAACAGTGGTTTGGTTTTTATTATTCTGAAAATAAGAAAAAAGGAAATAGATACAGTGCAAAATACAAATATTGTTTGATGAAAATGAATGGCAAGCTTAAAGGTTTTATTAACACGTTCTTTGATGTAATAATTGGCCCATTTCTGATAAAGCTAATTACTTTCATAAGGTTGCTGAAGAAAGCTCTTCATCTTGCAAATATACCTGTAATAATAAGGATACTTTAGCTGAGTCAACTATTCAAGAAGATAACAGCTTACAGCAGTTATCTATATTCTGTTCTCATCAAGAACCTATCATTAAATGGTTTGTATTATCTTTATCACAAGCACAGTCTGAAAAACTTCATCAAAAACTTTTTAAAGTTATGATATATGGAAATAATTTATTTTATCTTATCAAAAATTCATATTTTCAAAAATTTCTCTATAAATTAAATCCTTATTATCATCCTCCTTCTTGAAGTATGGTTAGAAGACATCTTCTAACTAAGATGTTCTTTGATCATAGTCTTAAAAAATTAAATACTTTTCCTACTTTTACAGATCTTACAATTTCTCTTGATGGATGAACAAATAATTCTGGAAATTCAATTTATGGATTTATGGACCTTAAACAACATTAAGAGTTTGTATTGGATATTATAGATCTATCTGCATATAGTTGCACAGTAGAATTTCTCAAAAACAAAATACTAGAAGTTTTATCTACAAATAACATTCAAATGCCATCCATTCTTGCTTGCGTTACAGACAACTCTTTGAATATAGACAAAATAAGAAGATTAATCAATATAAATATATGAATATTAGATATATCAAAACTAATAGCTTATGGCACAACAAGTTGTAACATAGTTGTAGTAGTTTTGATTATATATATATATTAATGTATAAAACTAACACATATTATAAAATTTTAGGATGAGTACCCTAATATTATCTCTATTTGTTGCTGCTTGTATGTTTTTAATCTAATTGCTAAAGGCATCGCTTGCTACTCCAGTACTATTTCAATATGTAAAAATAACCAAAAGCTTATAAATTTCTTTAATTCATCACATATCTGGAATAGAGAATTAAGAAACTGATAAAAAGAGCATGATAACAATTACTTTCTATCCATATTCTGTGAAACTAGGTGGTACTTACTCATTAAAGTTTATATAGAAGTATCAACTTATGAATAAGGTTTCTAACACTGCCTCTCATTAAATAAAAATCTGTATCTTAAATATCCAAAGATTGAAAATACTGCTATCAAAAATATTATTCATAACAAATATCACTTTGACATTAATAATATACTGGCAAAAGTATTAAAACTAGTTATCGATGCTATTGGTAGACTAGAATCAAGTGATTCTACACTTGCTGATGTTTTTAAAGAGCTTGTTAATATTTATCAACAAATATCTTAATCTGAGGTTCCTATTGATAATTTTAAAATCCATGTTCTTGCTATTATAAACCAATATGCAAAAAAGTTTAACTTCAATATATACGTTGTTGTACTTTTTCTCTCTTCAACCTTAAAACAATTAACTATATCTAAAAAAATAGATGACAATAAAATTATTCACATCTTACTTGAAATAGCTAAAATATAGGGCTTTAGCAAAAGAGATACAAGTCTTTTATATAAAGAATTAATTGATTATAAAAATAATGATCTCTGTTTAATATTCCTCTTTCTAGTCCTTTACAGTCTTTATGATTTTTCAGAACTGATTTTACTAGAAATACATCTCTTTTGCATCATTTTGTGATGAAAGTCATTGCAATTGTTTTTCATAGTGCTAACTGTGAATAACTTTTCTCAATGCTGGGTCTGGTTAAATCAAAGATAAGAAATCAATTATTATCTGATAATTTATCAATAATTAGTCAGCTTAAAAATAAGTTTCAAAAAAGATGTATCTAAGGTTAATAAGAAAAATAAAGCCAGATCTGAATCTTTGTTTAATGATAATGAAAATATCGATATTTTTTTTAAAGATAACGATCACCAAATGGAAGAATTAATTGAACTAGAAGAATCAAATAAAGAATTAAATATTTTACTAGAAGAAGATGATTTGTATATTATGGAAGAATTTTTTGATTTCTTGACACTTAAAAAAAATCAAGAAGCTCTTAATAAAGATTTATTTCAGATTAACATGGAGCTAAATAAATATATTGAAGAAGAATGGTCTATTGATGATATTATTTTCTAAACTAAAAAAATAAATATATTGATTTTAATAAATTTTCAATTTAAATAAAGAATAAAGGTCTAGTTTTATTTTCTGAGTCCAAATACTTATATGACTACATATTTGTTGCTATAACAATATCTATTATATTGTAAACATTTATTTTGCATAATATCTTTAAATATCATATAAAATAAGTAAAACTTGTTATGTGATTTATATACTAGGAGCATGCCTGAGACACAATAAGTGAGGCATGTCTTAAGGAGCATATCCAAAAAATTTACTGTGCTTCCTACCTTACATTATACAGCATGTTGCAATGCCAAAAAGAGAAATGAAAAATCATTTAAAAGGGCAGTATAGCAATTTTATTGATTTATTTTTCATTACTTATAATTTATCAACTTATATTATTCAAAAAATATTTTATAATGTCGAACTCATCGAAAAATTTTTATTAACTGGACCTTTTGAAGCTATTTGTAATGCATGAAGACATAAGAAATTTGGCAGATCTAGCAGTAAATTCAGCATTACCAAAATTAGATGATAATAATTGAACAATAAAAGTTTTTGAGGTTCTAGCACAAGTTAGTAATAATTAAAATATACTTTTCTTTTATTTGTATAAAATGATGAGACAACAGCAGATTTTTAGTTATAGTATGTCATAGCTGTAGGTTGGGAAATGCTGACCTGAAAGAGCGATATTGTCAGATGTCAAAGGTTTCTGCTTCTCCCTAGCTGTGCATGATTTTATAACCAAAATGGTAATTAATAACTAGAATAACTAATTATGTACATGCAAAATCTTATTTATATAAAAGATTATGACCATAAATCTAATATACTGGTATTCCTTTTTGTATCTGCTGTAGATGGAAATTGAATATAAAAGCTTGTAGGAGTTGGACACTATGAAGGTTTTGAATATGGTACAGTATCTAATAAATAAAGAAAATTTCTGCTTGATGAGCCTAACTTGTGTATAGGATAAAGAAATATATGAAGAGCATTCAAGAGAAGAGATAGAATAAAACAGTAAAGTATTGAAGTCCAAACTAGATATAAATATTAGTACATTAATTTTTCTTATTAATTCTTTTGTTGAATACACTTTACTAAAATAAAACATATATTTAGCATCCTGTATTAGAAGTAGATGTGAATCTTTATGGTTCTTTTAGAATGAATCTGGAGAATATCAATCAATCAGAGCTCACGTAAAAGGATCACAAAGCTAACATGGTGATTAGTAATAAATCAAAAATAGTGAAAGGATTGGGTACAAGACAGAAGCATACATTATGGTAAGAATTATTTGTATCTAAGCTTAAATAAATTAAACTTACATTTATATCTTGCAAAAATATAAGATCTGTTTTCTCTAGTTCAGTCTTATCCAAGTGTAAAAAATTTGTTGAAAATTTCAATAACACAAATATTTCAAGAAATATGGAAAATATTATTCATGATAAATCATGGAAGGAAAGTGAATTTGAATCAATAAAAAATAATAGAATGCATTTTAAGTGTGCTGTAAGTAATTTATCAATTGCTTTTTATGAAGTAACTTATATAATTTTAAACCAGAAGAGGGATCTGGGGTAATCCAGCATTTGCGACTAGCATGTCTCATAACAAACAAAGTGAGCGATATATATAACAGATGTTATAGTTTCATTACTTTGTGCAAGTTTGAAAAACCTTCCAAATGGTTACATTTGCTTGAGCACGTAAGAGAAAATTGACAAAATATTATTACAAAAGTTGAAATTCTTATGCTAAAATATTTTTGTATTACTTGCAAAACAGAACGTCAAGTAAGGCTCGAAAAAATATAGGACTCAATAGAGAACGTATAAGAAAGAAATCTGATATTATGATGTTTATAAAAGATACAGAAAAGATTTTTGAGCTTGCATATGTTGAATCTTTTCATATCAAGTGTAGTAAAACAAAGAAAATGATGATTATGCAAAGCTATGAAGAGAAACATTGGAGATCAAATATAAGCTTGAACCAAATATATAATAAATGCAAATTTTCCTATTTATTCTTTGAATGTATGCATGTTGTCTAAAATCTAGTCCCTTCGAAGCACTTAGAGAGGTTTTATCTATTTTAAGTTTTTTATTTTTGAAAGTTTTTATATATTGTAGAATTCATACATGGATTATAATTAAAGAATTACTTAAATATTTTATATAAACATTTAGTAACCGTATTTAGAGCCTGCTATACGAATGACATCATTTTGCTTATTTTTTTTATAAAACCAATATCCTGTTAAGCCTATTATTGCAAGAATGGTAATTGAAACTATAGGAATTGCCACAATTACACCCGTATTTAATGAATTTGAAGCAATGACAGTTTGAATTTGAGTAACTGAAGGATTTTGAGGATTAGTTGAATTAGGGTGTTGCAATGTATCCGTGACCCACATATAATTTCGAGTATCAAGAAGGTATAATTGTGCATTCACATTATTCAGGTTATAAAGATTGTTATTTACTCCAGATACACCTTTATAGATTAACAATAAGTTAATATATTATTATTTTAAATAAATTGATGATTTATAATTACCAAATGCTAAAATCATAAAGTCTCCTACTATGGCTGCAGAATGAAAAAAAAGTGGAGGTGGCACATTAATACCATTCGATGATTTTTTAGACCACGAATACGGATTAACATTTGTATCTAATGAAGCCAACTGTTGGCTTTGATCTAAAGCACTGTTATTTTTAGCACCACCGTAAATTATAACATGTCCATCTGGGGATAATACAGCAGTGTGACCACTTCTAGGGTTTATTGTATCACCAACAGCAACCTAATAATTCATATATACATCATTGACATAAAAATATAAAAGTAAAAAAGTTTATCGAGAACATTACCGTTAAGCTCCATGTCCCACTATTTGTATTAAAAGTCGGAATCTAATTCGAAAAAGTAGAAATAAAATAATTTAATACCTAAACAAGTTTAAATAATAATAATCTTTAAATATTTAATTATTTTAATTACTTCGGCCATATTAATACTATCACCACCTCCTATATAAAGTATAAGACCATTATTTAAAAGTGTGGCAGAAAAGACATAACGTGCCGTTGGAGCACCAATAGAAGAGCCTTTTGTCCAAACCGAGCTTAATGTATCAAGTATAAAAATGTCATTAAAAGGAATACCAAGACCACTGATTCCTCCAAACCTAAGAAATTTAAAATAAATATATAACAAAAAGAACACAATAATAGAATAAAGATAAAAGATAAACATACATATATATCTTGCCATTAGTGTCATTAACAGCTTGAAATAGTTCCCGACTTACAGGGAGCGTCCCGCTCACGGGGAGAGTGGTCCATGTACTGCTCACAGTATCAAAGGAATATACTACAGTGTTATTAGTACCAGCATTATTTGTATCTTGATGTTCCAAAAGAAATATCGTATTTTTATTAGGACCGCCAACACATGCACTTGCAAAAGCAGAATTAGTCGGGACAGAAGCATTTGATAAGGACCATGAAGGATTTGAAGTATTTAGCGTCGAAAGGGTTACATCGAGGAAAACATTGTCTCTAAATTGTACAGCAAGGGCACTACCAAAAAAGTAAAGCTTGTTCCCTACAAGAGCACTACTTTGACTGTAACGTCCGAGTGGCGCAAAACCGTCCACGTCAGAAGTCCAGACAAGAAAAATAAGTAAGCAAAGGGAAAAGTAATATTTAAAAGAATCCATATAGAGTTAAATTAAAATTATTGGCCTTAGATTAGCTTGTTTAAATATTGTCACATAAATCTTATTATAATCGGTAGTTTGTGTTTGCATTAAATGAGAGTTACGCAATCATGCAGGGATTTTTCCTTTAACACAATATTTCGCTTCGACTCATCAACCCGTGGATCAATCCCCCTTTCGTTATCGATCAGCTGAATTCAACGAGTTTAGATTGATCAATGTGGTTACGTATATGTGCTCATCGGATCGTCGAATCAACCTGCGTATTTATTTGTACGTCTTTGCTCGATCAAACGAGTTCAACGGGTTTGGGTCGATCAATGTTGTGTAGGATCATTGAAAGCTTGGATGATCGTCGATGGAAGAATCGATAGAAATGACAAACGCATATCTAAGAAAGTCTTGGAGAAAGGTTGAACAGCGAAATGAAATAAAACATGAGATATTTAAACAAGTGAGAAGAATTAATAGAATTAACGAATGCATATTTAAGAGAATGGAAAAAAAAAATAAATCGTAAGAAATTTAAATGAGTAAGAAGATAAAAAATGTATTGATGATCGCCCGTGGATCACGTACAGCCTTGCGTTCATCTGTCATGAAACCTTTCTTTAGAGAATAGATAGCTAGAAGTTATTCTAAAAAAGAATTGTTTCTAAATTGTTTACGTTATTTAACTTTCTCCTGAAAATATATAAAAGAGTTATAATTTGTTCTCGATTGAGTTTTGTATAGTTAATATAAGAGTTTAAATTAATTGCATAATCAATAATTAACAAAAGTTAAAAACGTTTAAATTGAATTGGAAAGCATTGGTTGTAATTACTATTAATGATAATTAATAGTAATATAATATAGTAAATCTTACAATACTATTGAAAGTAAAAAAAAACAACTTTTGGTGACTCAACTGACATACAGTATCATAAAAATTCTTCTATATTTGCTACTACATTATTTCTAAATGAATGGTCCAGAGACATCAAGAGATCGTAGAAATCGCCTTGCTAGAGAATCTTATGTCTGTCGAAAACTGTTACTTACAGTTGAGCAACTTGAGCATTGACGTGTCCAGCAATGTGAATTTTATAGACTTTATACTGAAACTGAAACTGTTGAACAAACTGAATATTGATATAAAACTCGATGCACTGCATATATGCATCATCATCAGCAAAGAAATACTTCTAATGCTGCCCATGTACAGGTATATGATGCTAATTCTGTTAGCCATCAGCAACTAGAATCAATGGGAATAGAGTGCTCATGTTGTCAAGCACTACACTGGATAGAAGAAAAGGTACCCGGTGGTATATATACTTCAATGTTTAGTTCCTGTCGTGCAAATGAAAAAGTATAATTGCTAGCTATTAATCAACTACCAGAACCCTTACTTTCGTTACTTATTAAAGAAGATAGTATGTCTTGTAATTTTTGAAAAAACATTTGCAAGTATAATTCATTATTGGTATTTACATCAATGGGTACTAAGATTGATCAAAGTGTAATTGGTACATATAGTGCCTACAATTTTCAAATCCATGATGAGATGTACTATCAAATAGGCTCACTTTTACCAGATAATAATACAATACCTGCATTTTTCAGATTTATATTTATAATACTGAAGAATAACTAGCTTGTAGACAATACTTGATACCTGATTTAAATCTATCAATTCTTAACAACTTAAAGAAATGTTACATAACGTTAACCTATATGTTCATATTTTCTAACAAATTACATATGTTTTACATAAAAACTATATTCAAGTCTTGAATATTGTTATTATTAAAGCACACAATAAATATCAATAAAAATTGCTGTTTTTATAATAGAAAATAGCAGAAGACTAATATTTGAATTAAGACATTGTATTCTACAGACAAAATAGTAGTTTTGTAATGCATTTCATAAACATATCATTTTTATTTAGCATTAAATTATATATTATTTTTTCTATATAGTGATTTAGGTTAATATCTTATATTTTTATAGATAATATTGTTTATTATATAAACAATTATCAGAATATAGGTAAATGTAAAAATACTAATTTATGTTATATTACAACAATGCAATATTATATGTATTGTCTACAAGTATAATAGCAAAGTTTAACGTAATCATTTGCATTATATAAAAGTAGTTATCTGTTTTAATTATATATAATTAAGATTTATGTTTACATTAACCAAAATTATCTTAATTATTTAAAATATAATCAAAAACAAATTCATATTAAATTGTATAGTTAGTTGCAAAATGCACTTTCTGTTTATAATGAAATATTACAAATTGGATTCAATGTTGATTATTAAATTAGGCATTTGTTCTTATATTTTTAAATTAAAACTACAAGTTTTTCTTAAAGATATTCTTAATAATAATATTTTTAATAAACCTTTAGCATATATTTATGTTATTAAATCATAAAAATATAATCTTTATTATATATATATGTTAATTATGTTATTCTCTAACTGCAAATTATATGTACCAGAAGAATATAGTTGTATTATATTAACAAAAATTCTAAATTTTTTTAAATATTTATATAAATATAAAACTATAATACAATATATAATATATAGACTATATGAAATATTTAATATATATACTTTTTTTATATAAGATAACAAATGTTCTAAAGATTATTCAAAACTTTTTTAATTAGTAACTATTTAAAATAAAATAGTTATTCTATATATTGCAAACATAAAAATAATTATATAATTAAAATAAAAGGTGTTAATCTTAATAATTAATAGATTGTATTATATAATTTATATATATATAAAGTTTAACTATTATATTAATATTAATATTTAGTTATTAATATATACTATTAAGTATTTATTTAAATATATTTACAAAGATCATAATTATGCAACAATAACACTTAGTAATAATAATACTATAGATAAAATCCAAATATATCAATATATATTATATATCAGTATATAAATTTTTTTGAAATATTCTGTATTATAAAATATATAATAACTTTCTAATACTCAATTCTTCATACTATCTTAGACAGTATTTTCTTTAATATACACAATGATAATAATTTAAGTCTTACATCTCTTAATTCATATAATTTTAATTTTACAACTACTAATAATATATTTTTTCTACAAACAATTCTTTCATCTATTATTTCAATTTTTATTAAAATTGGTTCTCTAAACATTAATAATTTATTTCAATATTCAAAAAAACTCTTACTTATTGATATTATTAACCAACATAATTTTGATATCTTTGGATTATCAGAAACACAACTAACTTTAAAAAAAGAAAAATATATTAACAAAGATCTCAAAACTATAACAGCTTTTAGAGTTATTATAAAAATTCTCATCAAACAGATGTCAGAATTTTTATATATAACAGAATTTCTAAATATATAACTAGAACATATAATTACAATAGTTATATAATTGGTCTTAATCTATATTTCAAACACAATTCTATTTATATTTTTCAAATTTATCTTCTAATAACAGAGAAAAAAACAACTACATTCTGAAATCTAAGAACAAATTATCTAACTCTATAACAACTCTAACTATTAACTAATAATACTTGATAATTTTAATAGTATTCCTAATTTATGCTTAGATAAAAATCCTTCAAAAACACTTCTATTCCAAAATCTTAAAATTTTAAATATCTAATTAGTTATTTATTTAAAGATATATATCAACTTTTCTTTTTTTTAATTTACAACTTTATTTTTATTTATTCAAATTCAAATAGTAGAATTGACCAAATATGGAAAAATCTAAGTATATCTTAAATTGATTATACAGATATTCTTGAGGATATTTCATCTGATTTTGACTACAAAATTATTATTTTTGATATATCTATAATTATTAGTAAAACAAAATCTACTAAACAATATACAAAAAAAAACTTTTTTTAAAAAAACTGTTTTAAGGAAAATTTTAAAAATTATTCAAACTAAACATTATAAAGTCTTCAACAACTTTAAACTAAGATATTAAATATTACTAATCAAACTGAACTTAATTTAGTTTGAAACAAATACTTAAAGTACTTTCCAAAGCTGTTATTAAAACATTTCTTACAAAAAAATCAAAGCAACTCATGAAATCAAATCTGATAAACTACTTAAATATTATTTACTTTACTATAGATACAAATAAATACAATATCTTAAAAATTATCTACAATCTTCTAATCTTTATAATCTTTTCATAAATATAATATTAAATATTCCAAAAATCTTATTATTTAGTCTCAAACTTCTGATAATTTTCAATTACTATTAAATAAGAATTTATTTAAATTAAATTAGTACTTAATACTTATTATCAACAACAAACCCAAAAAAAAATTCAACAAAAAATTAAAGACTATAATTATCTTTTTTATTCACAATCAAAAAAATTCTTTAAAAATATTTTTAAAAAATATAATAATATATATATTAATAGAGTACTAAATTATAACACCTTATTGACAGAAGAAGATCAAATTAAATAAGCTATTTATACTTATTTTTCTGAATACCTTAATGAGAAACCTCTTTAACAAATTCTGTCTAATTCCAAATATTATAAACTTTACCAACCTTATTCTGAATTTGAACTATATTATTAGAACTTATTTTCTGATATCTCTGATGATAAATGACAAAATATTATTCAAAACCTTCCTCCCCATAAAGCTATTAGATCTCTTGAAATCAATTATAAACATATTAAATATATTGATTATTCTGGCCAAATTTCTCTTAAATTATTTATTAACAAATATTTTCAACTTTAAAAAATTCCATTAGATTGGAAAAAACATCTAATATTTTTCTTATTCTAAAAAAATCTTTATGTGACTTTATATTTAATCAAGTTCATTTTATTTCAATTATAGAATTTATAAAAAAATATTTTATAAAACTTTTTATACAAAGACTTGATAACATCATTAATTCTAACAATCTTCTTTCTAATTTCAATTTTATAACT